CTTAGTATATTGATTTTGGCTAAATCACCCTCCAGGTACATCCAGCTCTAAACTATGACTCTGTGTCACATAATGTGGTTATTTAAAAGTTGCTCTTTGTTTAATGGCTTATTTTATATGAAGAGCTCTGGGTGAAAGGATAGTCATTAAGCATCCATGTCCATGTTACCCATTAATAAGGATTAAGGTAAAAAATTTATACAAACAAGGACAGTATTCTAACTGCTTTTTGCTAATTTACATACTAGGTATTTGAATACATATGAATGTTACTTATGCATGCATTCATTCATTCATTCAGGAAACTACTTGAACACTTACTGTAGTATGTAGTGTACATGACTTAAGGAGTTGGTGATATAATAAAGTATTCCCAAACAAAATTTTGATCGTGGCTTAAACAAACATGGCCATAACTATTACTATCCATTGTATTGAATGTAAAACTGGCACTGAGAATTGTTTTTGTGCATTGGGTAACAAATTGTACATTGGGTGACATCTAAGGGATTTGAGTGGGTCACATATGATTCCTGTAACACATTCCACATACTAAACACCAACCAGCCATGTACCTGACTAGGTTACAAATTAAGGATATTTGACTTGTTAAGTATTTACATTTTGAAACTTGTGACAGCCCTCATATTTCAGAATTATTCTGACGTTTGAATCTATTCGAGGTTACTGCTGTAGAAAGGGTGTGACAGAATTAAAAGTTGGTACTGATTGACTATACATGTTTAACTATAAAAGCTTTATACCCAGTATTGACAATGCAGTTAACTTTCTGATACAGAAAAAGCTCATAGGAGATTCCTGAATGGACTTTGTTTTTCTGCTTTGAAACAAAGATGACACTAATTTTATTATAAAGACCTACTTTTTACAAAGCACATATATAATTAAAAGGATTTCCTTTAAAAAATAGAACTGCTAAACATAGAACAAATTCCAAGCGTGAATTGACCAGTATTTGTGAGTAAACACTGAATGGGAGAACTGACTATTAATTGGGTAAGAGTCCCTTTCCTTTGGAGATTGTGTGTTACATTGTCCTTCCTACTGACATGGCTTTACATCTTCACAGCACTTGATACTAACTTTTCATAAGTATACAGAATGAAAATATCTGGTATTAAAGGAATCTTTAGTGCATTATAGTCTACTTTTAAAGCAGGAAAATGTCTAAAGTGTTAGATTAGAATTTATAAAAGGCTGATTGAAAATAGGAACACTGACATTCAAGTAGTCAGTCTGGGTTGAAGTTATTGCCATGATATGGATAAAATTTACTTTTCAGAATGTTTTGATTATTACCTAGTCTTTTGGCTACTTCATGCTGTTAAATGTGTTGCATAATTACTGTTTGTATAGGCATTCTTAAATTTAACGCAAAAGCATGTTAAAAAGTAGTATAATTTGGGGTACCTAAGTTATATGATGTTTTTGCAAGGTTTCTGAAAACTTCATTCAAATGCTTGGTCTTTCTGTTTTCAGAGGGAAAAAGAATCAAAGTAAGTTCCAAAAACTACCCCCAGAGTGAGGTGCAGGCTTGTGACGGAAGTGTAGACAGCAGCATGTAGGGTGGACGCTGGCACTGGTGGCGGCATTTCAAGCCTCTGTGTTTTGTCTTCTTGACTGCTGACTTTTGTTCTTATCAAACACATTGTTGTGATAAACATTTTTTTACAAGACTTCATTTCTGATGCTTTAAGCACATATTAACTGATTTTATTCCTCCTGTTGGTTCCTTCCATTGTTCTAAAATAGGACTTTAATGTTATTAAAACCTCAAAAGCTGATCCACCTAGGATGAACAAAGTATCACCAAGGGGAAAGAAACATTTTTTTATCTTTACAGAAAATAAATGTTAAGATTATATATAGATGTATTCTTTACATTGGGTATTGTATTAGAGTCCTCCTTCAGGAAATGAAATAGTTTTAGCACTCTTAGCACTAGCATTCCTAGATTGGTGTCTATAGCTGCAGTTTAAAAATGTATAACCTGAAAATGAAGTTAATTTTTGCATTATAAAAGCACACCATGATCTATGTAAAGACTGTCCATTGGTGTATTTTTTTAAAAAAAGAAAGCACTTTCATATTAACAAGTAGCATGTGTATGAATTTTAGATTTTCATATTTGTTGTCTGTATTCAGTGAAGTAAAAGCGAACATTCAAATGTATGTCGATGGCAACATTAACTGTTAAATTAAAGCACCTTATACTCTGCTGCTTAAACTTGCTTGTAATTGCACCTTTGTTACCTGCACATTTTCATATAGAATATTGTTGTAACATGCTTTCATGTGGGTCTGGATGGAAGGTTAGTGGGCCTACAGGATCATTTATTTATATTGTTTATATTACAATAATATATTGTAGACCAGTTGTAAGTTCATTTCTTTACAAATAAAAGCCTCTTCCATTTGGCTGTTTCATTGAATGTTTTTTTCTTTAAACTATGATCAATGGGGAATTCTCTAATAAACAAAAAGCTTAATGAGCAATTTGAAGAGTTGTGAATGTTCCTAATTTAAAATCTGCTAAGAGTATAAATAGTTAAAACAATATCTTTTAAAATATATCAGTCCCGCATAATGGCCAATTAGAATACCTTTAGAGGAAAATTAATAGTAGTAGAGTAGGCCAAGTTTAGGTATTGTAAACTGCTTTAAAAAATACATCTGGGCCCTCCCTGGTGGCGCAGCGGGTTAAAGCACAGCACTGAGAATCTAAAGCCTCTTCCACATGAGTTCGATCCCCGCCTGCCCCGGAAGTGACCACATGGTGCGGCAGACCTCTCCTGACCCACCCGCTGCTCCCCTGAGCAGCGTACTTCGTCGATCTGCCTGTTCTGCTCCCTGCTCTGTCTCTGGTGAAGCCTCTCACCGCCCCTGAGCCTCTGGCCTGCATCCCAGTTCTGTATGCACAAATAAATAAATCTTAAAAAAAAAAAAAAAAAATCCTGTTGTGTCCATCAGTCTAGGAGTCTCTCCTGTTGATCTTTGGATGTGGTTCACTTTGTTTCTGTCGAGCTGTGTGCTTTTTGCTAGTCACTTTTCTTTAAGCATTTTAACTATTGTACTATCCAATATAGTGGTTATTCCTCTTCTGTGTAGTATCTTCTGTTAACAGATGTGACCACAGCAGTAGACATATAATTCAGGTCAGGCCATCCAAATAATCACTCCCTGGAAGTTTATATATAAAGCTAGGAGATGCTTTAAGTTGGAATAAAAGTCCTAAGCTCTTGGCAGGCAGAATCCCTAGTGTGTGGAAAAAGTGACAGTGTGTATTCTCCAAATAGTTTACCATGTCCTCTTTCCAACATGGAGCTTTTCCTTTCAGTGGCTCAGATGGATTTGTAATACTTGCAACTCACAGAAAATACCCAACTATCCAATAGCATTTCCCAAACTGTCTTTCATAAATGACTATGTGCTAATCAGTAAACAGATTTCTTTGCTATTAAATTTCCAAGCCTTTAAGATGTTCATGGCATTGTGCATTTTCAAGTGAAAAATGATTGGGAACAACAATCTTCTCATTTCACTGGGAGGTCATCCTTTTGGGAAACAATGAATGTGATTAATGACATGAAGTGCAGTGCTATAAAGAGCATAGGCTCTGGAGCCAGGATCTCTGGGTTTTATACCAGTTTCCCAAATTATTAGCTTTATGATCTTGAGTGAGCTTCTACATTTTAATTTCTTCATCTATAAATAGGGTACAGTAGTACTCATTATAGTTATACTGAGGATTAAATCAGTTGCATGGAAGACTGGAAACAGTGCCTAGGATACAGAAAACACTTCGTAGGGCTTTGCTAATATTAGTACTCCATAGCACTAAGTTTTTAAATAACAGTAATCCACTGTGGGTCATGAACTCAATTTAGTGGGTCACAGCCAGCACTAACAGAAAAGACACAGTGAAATGTAGCTGTGCTTAAGGGAATTATGACATAGACACTTACACAGACCTATGTAAATGGATGTGTATGGGTGATGAAAAAAATCTTAAAGATGTGGAAAAACTCTAGTCACCAGTTTTAAGAAATGTTAGGTTTAGAGTTATGCAACATATTTGTAAATGGTGATCAGAATACCTATGTCATTTAATTCAGAGTGATTTCAGATTATTTTGCCCACCAAGGGAAGTTTGGCAGTGCCTGTAGACATTTTGATGATGAACATGGAGGAAGGAGGGGCTACTGGCATCTAGTGGAGAGAGGGCAGGGATGCTACTAAGCCTCCTGTGACCAGTGCAGCTTCCCGCAACCAACATTAGCCAGCCTGAAATGTGACGAGGGCTGAGGGCTGAGGAATCCTGCTTTTACAGTGATACTGTTCTGATGTGAGTATGATTCGACGTGCGAGTTATGTAACATGTCATAAATGAAGGTGAATCTGGTATGTCATGGGAGAGCTAGTTACTACTCCTAATTCTGTAAGTGAAGAAACTGAAGCTTTTCTTCCATAGATACTGGCATTAAGAACCGAGTTGTACTTTTAAAAACTAGCTCAGCTTAAGTTGAACAGTTTTCCCTGTACATTAAAGAGTACTTAACACCAAGTAAGAAATACTTACACATCTTAAGAAAATGATCTTGATTTTCTTGCTCTGAACGTAATGAAAGTGTTTAAGGTTCATATCTTAAAATTAGTAGTGGATCTCAGGTTTCCAAACAGTTTGTTTGCATCCCAGTAGTTTTTTGGGTAACAATATGGCCAAAGGTTATATCACTTTGTGGCAACAAATTGGTATTTGTAACATACAGTGTTTCTGAACAGGTATTAAATTTTTCTTGTAATTATTTTGTTTAAAAATAAATGAGTAAATGACATCATGACCTAAAAGACACAATCTGAAAAGGTATGAAAATGGAGGTGGAGGAAACAAGAAAATTATGTTGAGTTATTCTTCCCCATTTGTAAAATTATGATACAACAGTTTTAAATTTTAATTAGTTTTAATATGGTGATAAGTATTAACAAATTATTATCGAGATAGGCTTTTCAAAGTGCTCAAGATTATGAACTGTACATGGAATGAAACAACATTTCCAGTTGACAAATGGATCCACAGTTAACACAATGTCTCTTAAATTAAGCTTGTGACAATTAAACCAGTAAACTGTAGCAATTAGAAAACTATTAACAAAATACAGCCATGGGACATTCATTTCAATATATGCTGGAATCTGTACATTAAGTAAAAGAATAATTACTTGAAGGAATACCAATGGTAACCAGGTACCAAGAAAACAGATAATGAACTTGGGCAAGAGTGTTTTCTTAGTGTTCACAGTATAACTAGAGTGGGATGAAAAGGGGAAATAAAGGATAGTCTCTTTCTTATAAGAAGTTATCCTAATACCCTGTACCAGGGTAACAACTTCTGAACAACAGGTTACACAAGCCACACATAGAGCCATCAGCATAGCAAATGACAGCCAGTAACTCTGCTCACTGCTATAGAAAGGGCATTGATAAGAATAACTATGCTGTGCTTTCAGGCTTTGGTAGATAGCCGGGTCTCCCAAAACATAAGAAAGGGTTGAAATCCAAATTAAAATGACTGTAAAGATATATAATAACTTTTGACACTTAAATGGAAGCTTGATGGTTTTAGAGAAGTTCAGGCAATAATCTATACAAGCTATGGAGAAGACTGGATAATGCAAACATCCATAAGTACAAGAAATAATTTGAGTAAACAGGCAGATGTGGTAGTTAGTAAATCTCATCCCTAAAAATACAAAATCCCGGAAATAAGATATAATGGAAATGCTTGCCAAAAGTAAAAAATCAATGAATACTAAAGAAATACAAAAATATTCCATAAAATGTTGATAGGTGTTTTTTCTTTTCATTCCTAGTGTGAGAATATTTAATAATATTTTCCCAAATATGATCAAGAACAGCAGACAGTTACCATCTAGGGGCCGATTTGTTTGATGTAACTGGTGTTGAAAAGAGTTCTCTGAAGAAAGTGCAGTCATATTTTTAGTTAAGTTTCAGAAGGCATGCTGAAAAACATACGATAAAACACTGCTCCCCTTTATTTTCCATCCCTGCAAAAAAAAAGAAAAAGAAAACCTAGATGTTTTCTTAATACTCTATTAGAACTTTACAAAACAAGCATCTTCTTTCCAAAAATCCAGCTTAACCTAATCATTTCCCCAAATAACTAAATAGATAAGAATTTATATTTCTCTTAATATTTGGAGTATTCAGAATATGATCAAGGTGAATTAATGTGGATAGTTCAGTGGTCCAGAACTCAGATTTATAACCAAAATGTTACATAAATTACTAGCACAGGTTTCAATAACTTGTAAAAAGAGGGGAAGACTTTTATTGTGCTAAAGCCAAAACACACACTTAAAATAGCCTGATAGTAATACTCAAAACAACCACCGATAAACTGTTTGCAAGTTCCACCCTGATTCCACTTCCCCACTTCCCCTCTTCCTCTTTCTGGCAGAGAAATTGAGACCAGGCTTGTGGAGCTCTTTAGTAAAGCAGTTAGAGCTTTTTAACCACAGGGTCATCATTCAGGGAAATCTTTCTCGGAATCTCAGATATATAAATAACAGATGGCTCAGCTGTAAATAGTGGGAATACTAGCAAAGGAAAGAAAGATTGATCTGGATATGGTTCTTCGGGTACAGCAGAGAGAGAGAATGCAGGGAGGAGCAGGGGCTGACCCAAGAACGTCAGGAGTGCTCAGCAGGGCCGAAGACAGGAGTGCAGGCCTGAGCAGCAGATGTATCTGGAAGTGGGAAAAAGAGATGCTGATGAAGACAGGTCAGAGAGGATGAAATCAGCAAAGGATGAAAGGGAGGAAGGAAATTGTTTCTAAAAGAACAAACCTAAAGTTACTTCTGCAAGACTGTCCGTCCAATCACAGTGTGTGACAAACCCCAACAAAAACAAACCCACCCAAGGTGACAACTGTGATGAGTTAAAAATGATACCTCATATCATTTTAAAGAAGTCATTTAAAAAAAATCTTGCTTCTCATCACAAGAAAACTCTACCTCTGGCTACATTAACTAAGACATACTGTGATCATTTTACAATATATACAAATATTGAATTAGTATGTTTTACACCTGAAACTAATATATGTTTTACACCTGAAACTAATATCTACACCAAATTATATCTGGATTTAAAAACTGGTTCTCAGAAGAGGAGCAAGACTTAGTTTCCATTCTACCTTTTCTATACATGTTAAACATTAAGCTTATGAATTTGACGTTTTAAAAATGTGATAAATTTTCATACTGCCTTAAGTTATGTGAAATGGAGGTTCCAGTACTACTCAGCAACATGTCATTAATTTTTAAAGTCATTATGCATGTATAGATAAATACTTTTCAAGGGCTACATTGTGTTATTAGCAGGTTTTTCTGAATTTCCCAAAACTTAAGACAAATAAGGGAGCATTAAGTCTGAACAGTGAAAAAAATGAAGTTTGCCTAAAAACAGGTAGCTGGTGATTAAAACATTTCAAGGGAGTAGTGAGGATACTGTCTGAGATGGAAGAAGTCGCTGGGAAAGGGCTATCATTTTTGTTGAAAGTTGAACCCAAACTTGGCAAAGAGTGAGCGATTCTCCTAGTTGAGAAGAGTTCATCTCTTCCCAGCTAGACCCTGACACTTGAGCTTCCATGTTCATCTTCAGGTTGTATGTTTCTAGCAGGAATCCTACTAATTCAGCTCAGCCAGTACCTGTAGTTACCACCATCTGACCATTTTCCTCAACCCCACCCTCCAAGTGAGGACTGAGCTCTCTTCAGTAAGGACCCAGGCAGGCTGGGTTAGCCAGAGTCCCCTTGTCCCTGATGCTTTCCATCCACTGGTCCCCAGCTATCATCTGCTTTTCCTTGTCTTGTCTGGAATTGGACTCAGTCTCTCCTTAGCTGTGAAACCCCCCCCACAGTGGTCCCTATACTACAGCCACCTGTCCTATTGTTGTTTCACAGGGTTCACGATTTTTTCTTGAACATACTCTCGTGAACTAAAGCTATCATAATTGCACATGTATAAAATTAGCGATATAATTTTACTGCTTATAACCCCTATCTGAAATTAAATAAGTCAAGGAACTGTGTTTAAGCAGGCAATGTATGAGGGTGTTTCCATTTCATCACTGACTCAAGAGTGCGCAACTGGGAGGCCCGAGAAGCAGACGAGGCCCCTGTGGAGAAATTTGCCTTGAGTGTTGCTTGCGCTATGGAGTCAGAGGAGGAGGAGCAGACACAGGCCCCTGGGCATGAACCAAGAGCCTCTTCAGAAGGCTGGAAGAAAGAATAAAGTCTGAAGTAGAATTTGTAAGAGAATCATAAAGCTAGAGAAACAGGCCCAGGCTGAGCCAAAACAGGAAGTGATCTAAAAGAAGTACCTGCAGAGCAGGATTTCAGGTCCTCCTCAATACCATCACTGTGCAAGCTACCCAGAGCATTCACAATTAGTTTTTTTTTTTTTTTAAACAACCTGCTGGACAAAATAAAACCCTTTAATAAGTTAATGATCCTGCGTTTAACCTTAGAAAATGTTTGCATTAACTAACTATAGGGATTCAGAGATTTACAAGATCAGTTCCTTTGCTGACTTAAACTATGTAGATACATGTTCATATAGAACATAAAAAGTTAAAGGGATTTGAAAGTCTTTTTTACGACATGGCTGAGCTTCTTGTGAGATCTAAACAGTTTAGATGTTCTCAATGACCGAGTCTCTGCTTTTCTATTTATAACTCAATTTTTTTCAAACAACATATCATACTTACTCTGCTTCTTCCAACAGGTCTTTCTTGGCTGATGATCTTATTTTATTTCCACTTTACCTTTAACTGTCTTACTTTTGGCTCCTGGCATTTCATTTTGCTATACCAAGCTACCACATGAATAAAGCTCTGCGTGAAAGAAAACAAAAGTAAGCATCATTAAAAAAAAAAAATAGCTAAGAGCTGACACTTTCAAAGCACTGATGTGTGACATTTTACTACACATTTTAGTGTCTTAAATTCATTAAGCTTCACCATAATTCTAAGTTAGATGTTTGATTGTTACTGCCTTTTTTCAGATGAGAAGGAAAATAGGTCATCTGTCATTTTAACAAAATGTTATGATAATTTACATGACCTGTCACTACATTAGTTGGTAGGAATGCTGTGTTTGAGAATTGACAAACTAGAGCACTATTTAATTTTGTATGATTAATAAAATTTAGGGAGTAGAAAATGTGTTATGTTATTGATCCAGACTGTAAAATTAAGGAGCTACTTGATGATCCCTCAAATTCTGTATTTTAATCGGTGGCACTTACTGGTGAAATACAGATTTGGTTTTGGTTAATGTTTTTACATTCTCAAAGGAGTATGAAAATGGATAAAACAAAAACAAAAAGAAAAAGCCTCATTAGTGGCCATCATAATAACTGGAATCATGTGTGACGGGGCTCCAGATTTCTGCTTAGTGCAACTCTGTACTTCTGTGGAATTAGACCCACCAACTGCTTATATTCTTTCCAGCAAAAGGAAGAAATTACCTAGATCGAAAGCCTACCAGAGAGCCTGAGACAGATCTAAAGAAATGGCTCCTACTTAAACAAATCTTGCTTGTATTGAAATTTTTACCCATGAACCTTGGTGTCTAAACAAGCAGTTGTTAGACTGTGGTTTCAAAACCTTTTGACACTCGTGGAATTTTAACATAAATAACATTTAAAAAAAGATTTATTTATTTATGCATACAGAACTGGGGTACAGGCCAGAGTTGCAGGGGCAGTGAGAGGGATTCACCAGAGACAGAGTAGGGAGCAGAACAGGCAGATGGATGAAGTACACTGCTGAGGGGGAGCAACGGGCGGTCAGGAGAGGTCTGCCTCGCCATGTGGATCACCGCCAGGGCAGGGATGGAACTCACACTGAAGCGGCAGAGGCCAGCTTTGCAGTGTATGCTTTAACCCACTGCACCACCAGGGAAGAGGGAGGGCCCATAAATAACATCTTTAAAAGGGGGTGGGGGGGCGCAGGGAGGCTATTTCCCAAACAAAAAAAGAGTGAACAGAATTATACTTTTTCACATTTGCTTTCCGGCCTGGTTCAAGAGTAGACACTGAATTCTCACCTAGTGCTCATTAGCTGGACAAGGACACATTGTGCAGCTTTTGTAAGGTCTCTGTACTTCACAAGAGTTTGAGAGTAAAAGCAGGTAAATAATACTTCACTGTATTATTATAACCAACGTTATATTACCAGTTTGCATGGCATCTCAGAGAAGTTTGACAAAACCGTCTGCAGTTAAGGGGAGGGTTTCAGGTGAGCACCCGCACATCGGTGACAGCTGTACAGGAAACTGAATCAGTACTGGGTGAGCCTTGCTAGTAAGGAGTGCAGAGTGGAGACATCCTGTGGGAAGCTTGAGGTAGTGAGACTGCCGTGGCTTTCCATGCCACTATCTAACCTTTACCACGATCAAGAAATGTACACACTATTTTTCCCGAAGAGGGAACAAGGCTTGCTGGGTAACAAGCACCTTTCAATGACTAAGTGTTGGAGCCTGAAATTCAACCTCAGGTCTGGTTTCTAAGCTGTTGTGTTCCTCAATAAACTGCAACTGTGACTCAGCTCACAAATGCTAATGTAGAAGTATTTATTTTATGTATGTGAAGGAGATTTCCCCAAAAGGTAGCATCCAAGTAAGAGGGACTACTTAGATGACTGGTATCTAAGGGGCCATAAAGAATGCGTGTGGCCCATGCTGGATATGTCAAAATTCAGTGAAAAAATGTCATTCAACTCCAATAACTTTTTAAGAAATAAGTGTTTTCATTCATTTACACAATTATAATTAGAGTCAGCATAGAATTAAAAAAAAACTTAGAGAAGAAAATTTTCTATTAGACTTAGTTTTTTAATAGATAATATACTCTGCATGGTATAAAAACTGAGTTACAGAAGTGTGGACGGTGGAAATTACCCATCGTACCTACCACTCTCTCAGTGCCTCTTCTCCATTTATCCGTGTTCTCAGTTTTTCTTCCTGGATACCAACCACATTGACCAATCACTTCTATATCTTTCAGAGGCATTGTAAAGCTAGGTATTAACTCTTAAATTTCCATGTTGTCGAGGTAAGTTAGTGAGGGATTCTTGATTGGCCGAGGTAAGTTAGTGAGGGATTCTTGATTGGCCCTTTCCCCAGCTTTTTTATTATGTACTGATAAAATCAGTAAGCATTGAAAAACAAGTATCAATGACTGTCAGGCCACAGGTGTCATTTCCACCAGTCACTTCAAGGTGGGTCTTGGCACAGGTTGGTGAGGAGAGGCAGGGAAGACAGGGGAAAGGGATTCTTAAGAGTAGGAGAACAGGTGATTTTACATTTTTTCCTGGGCTACAGAATTAAAGTGTTCACCCACACCTGCCTCTCTCCTTCTAGGATACTGGGAAGATCTGAGTTAACTGACCTTATAATTAGGTGGGATATTGTAGCTATTTCTGGCAAAGGGCTATGAGACCAAAACATTACGTGCAGATGAGCATCCCTTTACCCTTCTCCAGCCACGGGGAATAAAAAGGCCAGGTGTTCCAGATGGCCCTAGGAACCTCTGTGACGTGGGTTCTTAAGTGACTACTTAAGCTGTGAACAAGAAAGGATAGTTTGCTGTATTAAGCTGTAAGGATTTTGTGACTGTTATGGCCTATCTTGAATAATAAAATCTTTTATAATGCTCTGTATCCTTTGAAAACTTTTAAAATATCATACTCATTTATAGTCTCAAAAAAAGCTGTAGTAGTAAAAAAAGAGCTCTGAAAAATAACCTGGAAATATAAGAAAACTGGTAAAATCAAAATTCATTTTTAATTATAATACATTAGTTATATTTTATTAGTTATAATACATTTATTATATATTAGTTATATTTCTTCATTCTAATTTTCTTGCATTTGTGTTTATTGCAAAATGAGGTCTTGATTCTTGACCTACATTTCCACCTTAAGAAAAAGAAGGGTCAGTTAAACTCAAAGTAAGCTAAAGGAAGGACATAATAAAGAACAGGAAAAAAATCTGAAAAGCAACAGAAGAAATCAATGAGAAGAAACAAACAGTAAAGTTGATAAATCTCCAATTAAACTAAGAAAGAACCTAATCAAGACCAAAATTAGGAAAGAGACAAACTTACTATAGATCCCACAAACATTAAAAAGTCAAGGGAGGGCCCTCCCTGGTGGCGCAGCGGGTTAAAGCACTGCACTAAGAAGCTTAAGCCTCTTCCGCATGAGTTCGATCCCTGCCTGCACCGGAGGTGACCCACATGGAGGGCATGGCAGACCTCCGCTGACCCGCCCACTGCTCCCCCTAGCA